CTCTTTGGCTCAAAATATAGCGATCCCTCAGCAGCACTGATTATACCAGCGCGTCAAACGCAAGTTTATCCTACGGATGCCGGACCGGCCTCGAGTCGGCCGACACAAGTGCCCCATAAGAGGCGTGACACGGCAAGCCAGTGCCCGCAACCAAGGTGTCCGCATTTCCCCGGAGAGAACACCGGTACCGACAGGCCCTGAACAAGTGCACACCCGGCGCGTGGATGACATGAGAGTTGTCCCGACATTGAAGGTAAGGAGGGCCGGGACGAGCTTGCCGCGCGCAGACAAACCTAAGTCCAACCAGCCATCACAGATGAGGGCCCGGTTGAAAGCCAAAACAGCATGTTGGAAGTTATTTATGCAGTCCCGCCTGGTCATGGCCTGGGTACTGTTCGGTTTCCGCTGTTGTGCGAAGCACCCTACAGCCTGGCCAACCGTCGGCCTAACAGCAGACTGAATTTTGTGATCACCGAACTGGTCGCCACTGGGGCGGGACCATGAGTCGACTGCCAACTGCGCTGCGTATTGCCCCTCGGTTTTGTTCCTAAAGAAGGCCACTCCCAAATTCCGCCTAATTTCTGATGCACGCTATGTTATATTATCGAACACCGTGTGGTGCCGAGCTACAGGTATAAGTCCCGTGGGATGCTTGTGGGAAGTGCCACAACCACACGGCTATCTGCCCACCGTGTCTCAGAAGTCCGGCTATCAAGGTTGTGCAGTGCCCAGTGGGCTGGCACCAGCCTGTTGGGGTTTTTTCGCACACCAAGGTGCGGGCGCCCTACCAGCGGTGAGAGCGGGTTCTCACCGACTTGGTGTTGACACCATCAACGGCTCAATTCGTCCCGAAAGGATGAGACTCGCAGTGCAGAGGATGGTGGAACCTGCGCAGCGTTCAAACAGCTGTACTCCCTACTGGGTGCATGAGATCGCGGACCTTTCGGGCATGTCGCTATTGCTGCCCCAATGTGGTCCACAGTTTTACCGGTCCAGGTCTGGTCCTACCGCCAGCCATGAGCTGTCGGAGTCGCCAAATATTGCACGTTTCTTTGCAGTCTAGGGTGGGTTAAACTCTTTTGGCAACCTACCCACGCGCACCCAATTGCCATCCACACAGATGCTGTTCCGAGTTTTCGTATGGCGGCTGGGTTGGTTGGGTCCTTGAGGACGGTGCCCTTGCTGTGGGCTGATGGGTATCGGAACTGGAGGGTCCATCTCAGACTCCTGGAACTGTCGGTGATGTTTAATGTGTTACCGAGCCTCATTCGGCAGGGGTGCTTGGACGCCCAGCGGGTGCTGGTCACAATCAAAGCCAACCTGCTAAAGACTTGATGATCCAAAGGTGGACCCCTTGTGGCCATGCACATGACGTGTGTGCACCACTGCTCTGGTAATAGGGCTTGGATCTCAGTGGATTGTTTCCCTCTTGAGTGCCACCAGTTCGCGGACGCACCCTTCAAGGGGCATGGCACTTTCGTTTGGCTGCTAAACCCTGCTTTGTTTGCACAACTGGCCAGACCGTGGGGTCACGAGGATAATTTGCAGTTGCCTTAGTCACATCGACAGCAGTCACCTAATGCTCCCCCTTACAATTTCACCAGATACTGACATGCGACAGGGTGCGAATGTCGCTGGGTGGTGTTTCCGCCTTCGCAATCATCGGACAAGCCCTGATGCATGCAACCACCACCATGCACGGCTTTGGTTCACCATGTCTCTCGGGCCTCATGCAACCTGGTGGCCCAAATTCATAAAATCCATAATAATAGTCATCATATCATCGTAATAATTACAGTAGTAGTAGTGATAGCTTAGTCTTGGCTGCAGCTTTTCCGTTCGTCCAAGCTAGTCTGTGTTACTGAAAGAGGGCATAGTCCCGTCCACTCGGGGTCACCCAAGGGGTATCCACCCGCCAAGATGATACACGATTGCATTCCCAGCGGACTTTGCCGACGGCGCCAACTTTGTGCCAGTGCCACCCCTGAAATGCAGAGCCTGATACACATATCGTGCCCCACTTGTAGTGGTCCGTGTGTGCTGCAAGCGGCACCGATGGACACGATATGGGTTGTGCGGCATCGTCACCACCATCCCTTCCCTCCGCTGGGTCGTGGCCAACTCGGATGGCATGCTGAGCTTGGAGCAGCATACCACGCCGCTTAACACAACCATCCCACTCAACCATACAGACTGCTCCGGGCCCCCTGTGGAGGCTCTTTGTGGAGGCAGGGCTGTCTCCGCGCTTTGGAACACACTCACTGCACTCTGAAGGTGTGACCGCTGCCGTTAACAACCGTGCGGATTGCAGCTTGGTGCAGCAGCTGGGTGCTGGAAGAGTGCGGAGGTTTCGAGAGCATAATGGTGAAGACAGCACCGCGGCTGGGGCATGGGTGATGACCCTCTTGACCTATACCAACCAGTGATCGTTGCACTTGTGGGTCCTTTCAAGACCTGTCATTACTATCGGCCACTAATGCAACTTTCACAATGGGTTGGTGTTGGGAGGGGGTTTCGCAACGGGTTGCTTTGCTACGGAGTTGTGCTTGCGGTTGGCGGCTTAGCTACTGTAACGCACCACGGCAGGACTGAGCAATAAGGTTACCAATCGGTTTCCGGGTCGTTGTCTCGAAATGTCGGTTACCCTACCGAAGCGATCCGGTTGGGTTATGACTAACCGTTTGGTTACCGAACCTTTTCCGCCATAAGGGTGCGGCATTGAGCCATATTGTGGCACGTATTGGTTTCATGCTTTTCACAGTGGAAGGCTTGCTTCTCCTTGATGTGTGATTTTGCTGTACTCTTCTTTGCAGGAAAAATGCCTTTTTGCAGGAAAAATGCAGGGAAAAATGGTCAACAGATGAGAAATTACTCCACACAACCTCTGCTTCGCGTGCCGTTTGCTCTCGTTTGCGCTCGTCCCACTTTGTATGCTGGACGGCTATGAGCTGCCGCTCTAGTTGCTGTTTGAATGTGGGTTGCAAGCCGTCGAGGAAACGCTCTTCCACCAGCTGATGCTTGCTTACCCTGCTTACCCTGCCATCGCACTTCCTCTCTTTCCCCGTGGCATCAGTTCGTTAGAAGTGGTTTTGAGGTTGTATGGCTATAGTGACATCACGCTTTCTTCAATTGCCTGTTGCCGGTTTTGCCTATTCGCACAGCCCAACGTCTTCTCTCGCCTCTTTTTTACTGCGGCAGGGAAGGAAATGCAATGCGCTAATGAATAATCCTGAGAGCACTTAACTGAAAGCGGCTTAAGGGGCCTGCATGCCCGTCCATGATTGGGGGATACCGCATCTTTTAGGCGTGGATGGTTGTCAGTCAGACGTAGACATGCAAAATGCAAAATGCTGCTAAGACCCAGTTCTTAGTTTGCTTTAATTTTTTAAGCTTTTTTAAACATCGGACACCAAACCGCTACAAGCTTAGCCTGTAGTGATAATTTGACCGGAATGCGAGAAGCTATACCTGCCATATGCCCCGAAACTGAATATCAGTTGTGTCTTGTCCATCAAATTAGGAGCAGCTGAGCATACGCAACCTAATACTATTTTCTGCAACTTCCAGATTTCCGACCGTACTTGCTTCCCCCAAGTTAAACTGAGAACCTGTGGTACCGCTTTGCCACAAAGCGGTGAGCCAAGTGAGAAGCTGGGGTTGCAAACCTGATTCCCGCTCTTTCCAAGCTCACCTTCCCTTCTTTGACAACCACTTGTGGACCCGGGATGCGCAGTCGCAAGTGGTGCAGGTTGCATGGACGGTGCTGTGCCGCAGCGCGTGCTGAAATTGTTTGTTTGCGCACCTTTGCGTGCATGGGTGGTGGTGGCGAGTATTAGGGTCGGGGACGAGCGTGGGGATTTGGGGGGTGGGGGATGGGGAAGAGGAGGTGGAGAGAGTGGGGGTGGGACGAGACCATGGAGTTGGGAGGTGGGACAAAGGCAAGGGAGTTGGGGGAAAGACGAACCACGAACGAGTGAAGGTGCTGCCAGGCCAAGCGTGTACCAGACGTAGAACTGACCAAAAGGCGTTGGGGGAACACGTGTCATGGGGCTGGAGAACAAGTGGCAGCTACCGCGCTTTAACTTCCCCTTGACACAACGGAGTAACACGTGTGGGGGTGTACACCCACGGATGAGCATGGGGAAATACTGATCCCCACTTCTCGCCCCGCCCCACAAGCAGGAGTGTGGTTCAGCGATCGCTCACTCCTTTCCGTTGGGTGATGATTAGGTTTCTCGGGCCAGTGCCAGGCCTGGATCGATGTGTTTAACACACGCAGTACGTCAGTTTATAAGGCAGACCACAACATCCTCTCGCCATTCTCTTTCCTACTTCATTTCAAAACGCCATTTCAACACTACTAGAATCCAGCCAACTCATCCCAGCAAGCAACGCCCAGACTCGTCAACAATAAAAACTCTTAACATTCTTCAAGCAAAACACAAGAAGATAACAGGCATAAAAGTAATAAATCACACACCCCGGCAATCACCAGCCACTACCAAACCATGGAAAAGCGCAACGATCGCTCGCCGCGACTCGGCCGAACCAACCTACTGACAACTCAGAATTGCAGCCCTTACCCGTCGGCATTCCCTCCTCCTTTCTCTTTCCCCCCTGCGTAGATAAGAGATCTCCCCTTTTGCCCTCTTGCCACTCCCACGTCAACTTTTAGGACACACACATTGCACACACGGGAATGTAATCCTTTGTTGTTCCATCATCCTGTGTTCTACCTTCAAAAATTCACCAAGCAGGCCTCCGCCATCACCCAGCCCCACGTTTTTGCCCCACCCAGGCTGAGCGCCAACTGAACTTCCCTTTCCTATCATCCCGCAAAAACCCCTCCGCCCTGCCGTCCCCCCACCTCTATCCCCGGCCGCGCTGTTCTGCGAAGCTCCCTCTAGAAAAGAAGGTACCACCACCAGCACCCCCGTCGCCGCACTTCCCATTCACACTCCCTCCCTCACTCGTTCACAACTCCTCTCAACCCCACCGCTCTCGCAATGTAAATTGCAGATTCCAATCCGTTCTTCCCCAATGCCGTACACTTCCGTACATTTCCTACACGTTCCCCCTCGTTCCCATCAGCCTGTTTTCCCATCAGCCTGTCACCGCCTGCTATTACCCAAATCGCTTAATTTCCTTTTCACCGCCAACTTGTCCTTCTCATTCTTTTCATTATCGTCACCACCACCACCACCACCACCACCACCGCCACCGCCACCACCACCATCACCACCACCGCCACCACCACCATCGCGCAACTCCTGTGAATTACTTTTCATCCCCCCAATAAAAGAGCCCTCGCAACTTACTTCCACGCAGACGCACACCCCCTCCGCACATCGGGATGCGCGAGGTGATGCATCAGCCATCAAACCTCCACCAGCCTCCAGACCCGCACCTTGGGACCGCGTCCTGACCGCGTCCGAGGCCAACGGACTCACTACACTAGTGATGTTCGTCTTTCCCCCCCTCCTCCCGCCGCCGCTTCCGCCGCTGCCTAAGCCACCACGTCCTTTCCACAGCCCCGCAGCACATGTACGCCGTATACAGGCTTACGCCGTACAAAGGCTTTGGGCTTTTATGTACAGCATACATGGGCTTACGCCGTACACGCCTGATCTGTCGCAACCGCAATAGCTACTCCACTACATGCACGTATCGCCACACCCGTACATACACTTCACGGCGCACAGTGTGCCTGGCACCGCTGCCGCCGTCACCGTCACCGCCGCCGCCGCTGCCGCCACCGTCGCCGCCGCCGTAGCCGCCGCCGCCGTCACCGTCACCGCCGCCGCCGCTGCCGTCACCGTCGCCGCCGCCGTAGCCGCCGCCGCCGTCACCGTCACCGCCGCAGCCGCTCCCGTCACCGTCGCCGCCGCTGCCG